CAGAATCAAAGCAGTCACGCCCACGTGTCAAATGGAGCTCGGTTGTTGGACCTTTCGGTAGCGGTTGCATAGGGGATGCATGAAGTAGGGACCCTCGAGTCCCCAAAGAGTATTTCAAGGTGTCCATCCCAACTGATGTGGGCGTTCCATCACTAGGGAACAGTTTTGGTAATGAACAGGTGCAGCGTCCGGTTTACCCCTTTCGCGCCAGGTCTTGATTAGGAGTCTGGTTTCTATGAAGATGGATGACCAGGGTTGAACTCCTTCAGAAGCATGGCATGCCAAGATGAGGGCAACGTTTGAGACGATTCCTTCAATCAAATGGCGCGGAAGATGGTCAGCAAGAATGAGTTCATCCAGGCCTATGCACTCTCCGTCAGCCTCTGATCAATGCGACGGCTGCGTTGCAAGCATTCAAAGGAGCAGGTTTCAGCAGTCCGTATGAGAATGACGGGACTTCTACACCACTTACTGGATGTTCCCGCTGTCACCAACGTCACGCTCGTTTGGTCAGGCTGGCTAAGGCTGTCGCAACTTGCCAAACGTAACTTCTTCGCGTATGTTCAAGTTGAATGGCTCATCATGCCTGGGTCCGATAATTTAGACGACCCTTTGGTCTCAACTCAAGCGGTTCATCATGAGCTTAAGTCCATGTGCGAGTCATCACAGAACGGAAGTCGCCACCGCTGTTGTTTGATTGTTGGTCCAAGCAAGACATCCTTTGCAGAGCTACAAGACAAATAGCCAAGCCTTGAATGAGTCAATCCATTAACGAAGCAGCCAGCCTTCTAGCCAGCCAGCCAGCCAGCCGGCCAGTAGCCGGCCAAAGCAAACCATTTGGTCCCCAAACTCATCAATGCCTCTGTGGTGCTCGACAAGCTTACATTTACTTGCTGGCTTGTTCAGCGCAGGCATCACCGACCTCAGCACGGGGGCGAGTACGACACAGGCGGGCCGGCAGCTTGCCGCACACTGGAAGTGTCGTGTGTGTTTGGTTGCAACATATTAGAGTGTCCTTTTTGGGGGACTCCACCAACTCAACAAAAAGACAGACCCATTTCTTTGAAGGAACCCACGGCCAACTTGAAATGGTTCGGACACACGGGAGGGCGCTTGGTTGGCAGCTGTTGGATTCCTTTGGAGTTGGTTCTCCACCGCAAAAAGCGGCGAGGAAGGAATGTGGAAGGGGATTTCTATATTCACCTGCGTTTTTACACTTATTTCATTCGGATGGCTTTGCACTGATTAAATAGCGAAGGTAACCCTTTGGGTTTCAGTGATGGTTTAGGGATTTGAACCTTGGTTCTTGATTAGACCACAAGAGACCAGGCCTTGCACAACGGGCCCCTTTTACTCATCCTAAAATTGAAGGGGTCCCTTTTTGTTTGGTTTGGAAACGAACGCCGCAAGGAAGCCTATTTTGAGACAAACAGTTCTTGCCAACCCAACCCCACCTTTTTTGACCATCCCCACCAACCCCGATCCCCCAACTGCCCCCCACCCACCCCCCACCCGCCCCCCACCCACCCCTCACCCCCCTTTTTGCCAACCCAACCTGACCAACCCCACGATTTTTCACCCACCACCCCCACCCCACCAGCCAACCGCCCCCCACCGCCCCCACCCCACCCCAAACCGCCCCGTTCGCCAGGCGCAGCTTGTCCTCCACCAGCTGCGACAGCGAGAACGACAGCGACGGGAACCGCTCGGTGAGCAGCGGGCTGACCAGCGGGCTGCTGTCGGGGGCGCTGGGCCCTGCCCGGTGCCCAAGGGGTTGGGCGGTGGGGGGGGGCTCGGTGGCTGAGAGGGATAACTAAGGGGGGGGGTGACTGGGGTGGGTGGGGGGGTGAGTGAAAGATAGTTGGGGTAGGAAAATGGGTTGTTTGGATGATTTTGAATTTGGATTTGCAGCCCTGGTAGAGGTAACCTCCAAACCACCAATCCAAACAAATTAGGGGAAGCTGAGAGTGCCGAATTGTTTGCTCTCTTTGGAGGGGTGGGCTGCTTTAAAATCCAAACTGCCACAAGAAACAATCCTTCTCCTAAGGGAAGAATGCTTTTTGGGTTCTTCACAGTTCCCAGCCAAAAAGCCCAAAGACATATCATTTTCGCATTTTTAGGTGGGGATTTAGGACATATCCCGCAAGTTCAACATGGTAATCACCTAAGTTTGGCATGGCACAATAAAAACACGGCCAAGTGAAGGTTAGCAAGGGATAGTCCCAACCACGAATGGGCACGGCCGCCCTTGTAGTTCGTTACATGGTTTTGGGCAGACCACTTTAGTACCAGGTTTTGTTTGTGACTCTTTTTGATCTTGCTTTTCCACTTCTGAAGATTGGTGAGGGGCAAGCGCCTTCCTGACTGCCGCTGTTTGCGGGCATAGGTGTCCTTTTTGTTCAGTTTGGTTGAGACATAAAGGGCCCTGTTAGACCTATTGGTTTAGTCACCTAAGAGGGCCATCAATATTCTAAACAGGACACCTACGTTTGTGAGTGGTTTGCGCTGAACTCCTTCAGCAGCCAAAACGGGCGCGCCCGTAAAATGGTCGCGCGCCAAACGTGAGGCCTGGAACGAGGAGCAGGAACGCAGCTTCCGGCAGAAGGCCAGGGCCATCTGTCCAATCAAAGGTGGTTGGACTCTGGGGGGTTTAGGCGAGGTCAGGTATGTGTATATTGCATATGTTCACATAAATGTGTGCTGTGTCTGTGTGTCTGTGTCTGTCTTTGTTTGCTTGTGTTGTGTTGTGTTGTGTTGTGTTGTGTTGTTTGTTTGTTTGTTTGCTTGCTTGCTTGTTTGCTTGCTTGCTTGTTTTTTTTTTTTTTTTTTTTGGGGGGGTTTGGTTTGTTTGTTTGTTTGTTTGTTGTTGTTTGTTTCTGTCTGTCTGTCTGTCTGTCTGTCTGTCTGTCTGTCTGTCTGTCTGTCTGTCTGTCTGTCTGTCTGTCTGTCTGTCTGTCTGTCTGTCTGTCTGTCTGTCTGTCTGTCTGTCTGTCTGTCTGTCTGTCTGTCTGTCTGTCTGTCTGTCTGTCTGTCTGTGTCTGTCTGTCTGTCTGTCTGTCTGTCTGTCTGTCTGTCTGTCTGTCTGTCTGTCTGTCTGTCTGTCTGTCTGTCTGTCTGTCTGTCTGTCTGTCTGTCTGTCTGTCTGTCTGTCTGTCTGTCTGTCTGTCTGTCTGTCTGTCTGTCTGTCTGTCTGTCTGTCTGTCTGTCTGTCTGTCTGTCTGTCTGTCTGTCTGTCTGTCTGTCTGTCTGTCTGTTTGCGTGTTCGTTTGTGTTTTGGGGTGAAACTTTTTGGAGCTGTACTTATTCTTTTCATTTAATTTGATTTCCATTTCATGTCCATTCATTTCCATTTCATTCCTTTCATTTTTTTTTCATCCATCCATTCATCCGTCCGTCCGTCCCTCCGTCCATCCATTTATCCATCCATCCATCCATCCATCCATCCATCCATCCATCCATCCATCCATCCATCCATCCATCCATCCATCCATCCATCATTCATTCATTCAGTCGGTCGGTCGGTCGGTCGGTCGGTCGGTCGGTCGGTCGGTGAGTCAGTCAGTCAGTCATTTACAAATATACATATATATATATATATATTTATTTATCTGTCTATTTATCCATTCTCATTTACAGTTACATATGTATTTCTCTATCTATCGATCTATGAATCGATCTATTGATTTATCGATAGAGATCTATCGGTCTACCGATCTATACATTTGTCTATCTATCCATCTATCTGTCTATCCATCAATTTACTTTATATTTATGTACGCGCTCATGTATTTATATACCCATTTATTCGATTTATTATTTTTCGACTCTGTTACCTTTCATGTGACTTTTGCCTACCAGAAGCATGACACACTTGCACCAGGGATTGCTTGATGGCGGTGCCGTACATGGGGTAAAGCAACAGACTCCCTCGGCATAACTTGGCAAGGCCGAAGTTTGGATTTACCAAAGTGGAGCTTTCCGTCTTTGGTGGCTGTGCTTGAGTCAATCGCACACTCGAGATGTATTCATCGATTGCTCGGTCCACCTTTCCGATGGAACAAAAGACTGCAGAGTGGATTACTGTACATGAAAGGTTGAACGGCGCAGACCTGTGCTGCTTTCGTCGTAGAGCATTTCCTGTACCCTCTTTCCCTTTTCGTTTCGTGATGTTACCAGAATGGTCAAGTCTGAAAGGCTTGCCTGTTGCTACCACGGGAATCGGGTTGTAAAGCGCGATGGTTCGTTGGATCAACCAGGTGCTTCCTCCGAAACCCGCAATGTCAGAGTGGTGAGTGCGTACATTTCCTGCCTTGAGACAAACAGCTGAGGGCTCCGGAAACTTCAGGTCAGTTTCATTCACCAAGCCACCTGGAATCAGCTGGACTGGTTGTGCTTGTTTTTTGGTTGAGGATGTCGCCAGAGCAATGGTGGCAATATCTGGATGCTGGACTTTCCGCGCTGCTTGCGTGCAGGTGGCAGCGATCTTTCTCGAGGCGGCATCTGTGCGGGGAAATAGAACAGGAGACATCTTGCGTGTGGAAAAAGGAAGGAAGCTCACTCCCGGAGTTCCGTTTCGGGCTACTTTGGGTTTGGACCATCTTTGTGGCAAACAAAAGGTGTCGTGCTACTTTTGGTTTGGACCATTTCAGTGGCAAGCAGAAGGTACCGTTACGTTTTCTTGCCGATCCTCTCAGGAAGTGAGTGCCGTAAAACTCCAAGATGTTTTGAACCATGCCACGACTTACGATAGAAAGTGACAACGGGGACACAGGGCCAGCCACCGATTTGACGTGTATTTGTCAATTTTTTGGGCCGGGGTAAAGCGGGCCTTTTCGTTCGATGTGATGACATGGTGGTGCTCTCACCAAGATCAAGGGGAGCTTGGAAGAGATGCTCAAACATTTGCAAGCTTGCACTTAGGTCTGGTGACCGCATTTCTTGTGCCTTGCGGTAAGGGTCAGTCAGATCTCACGGGATTCAGTTGGGAGGGTAGTGCTGGTTGGAAAGGGCAACCAACTTCCTTCCCAAAAGCACTCGTGGACCCTGAAAGAGGCTTCATTCTATACTAGCAAGGAAGATGGTCTTCCAGGTCAGTTTCATTTTTCCCTGATTGTTTTGAGCGCTCATGGCTTCCTTTTGCGACGTGCGTCCGACTGGCACTTCGGCGTTTCCCCTTGTGGTCGGTCCTTTGAAGGCGCCGAGAGGGGCCGTTGTCCTTTGACCGGCGCTTAACGCTACCTCTTTTGGCGTCAATCTACATGTTCAGGTTTAATTGGTGCAGAATCCCATGCCGAATTTTCGGTCAAAGGGAAAGGAATCCCAAAGGGACCCCCCCAGTCGGACCGTAAACCACCGCCACTCTTCGGGTTTGGGCCTTTCTACCCGCGATGGGCGCGGAGGCTCTGGTGGTCCTGCTGCATAAGTGCCCTGAGATGCACGAGGGGAAGGAGATGCCGGGCACTCGAGGGCCAGGGCGCACATGCGCTTGCAAAACGGAGCGAGCGCTCATGGCAACGGTTAAGATGCAAAAAAAAAGCACTCCCAGATTTGCTAGGTTGCTCTAGGAGGACGCATACCCCCTTTTTGGAATGGGGTTGTGGGGTACTGCTTGACCAAATCACCTGATCGCGGGAGAAACATGTTTGATTTTTGAGCCCTTGTTTGATGTACGCCTCCGTTTGAACAAGTAGAGCGAACCCCACCCTCCCGGTTTTAGGTGTCCTTCTTGTAGAAACCGATGGCAGGGAAAAATGATTGGGATCAAGCTGAAACAAGCACAAATCCAACTAATTTTCTATCCCTCCTGAGCCTAACAGGTGGTCAACATGGATATGTTGGCCCTAGATTGAGACTCCTGGTGGGCCAGGTGGGGGTGTCCCCTACAAAAGTGAAGAACATCAAAATTGGGCTGGAAGGAGCTTCTGGCTGGGGATGACGCTCCAAGAGTTTCACGTGTCAGGGGGAGATCCCCAAGGCATTTCACTCCGAAAACGTTGGAACTCCGGACTTTTTCGAAGAGATCCTCTTGCGGGCAAAGGCTCTAGTTTGGGTACTCTGACTCGGTCCGGCCAGTCTGATCTAAAGGTCATGGATGTCATGAAGCTCCTGCACTCCAAAGGGGGTCCCGCTGAAAGGGAAAGCACGACACTCGTGGCATGGGGCCCTTGAAAGCTCCTTGAGTGGCACCCTGCATCGAGTTGAGGATGCAGTTTCATATCGGCCTGACGATTTTGGGGCTGCCGCGGAGACTTGTGCGCGCAGTGGAAAGAGTAGAGCGATAAACCTGGACCCTGAAGTCATTGGCCTACAGCCATTGGCCCTCATCTGCCAGCTTCTGCTTGCGACATTTGATCTTGCTTCTGGATCACTTCTTTTCTTCGTCTGGTTGTTTCGCTCATTCATGTTTGCCGCACGTCGCGCAAGTGCACATCGTTTGCTGGAGTTCCACACTTCGAGGTTCCTCCAATGAGTTGCCATAGGGACACCAGCGGCAACCTAGATAACTCAACTCATCGCATGGCGACCTACCCATATATTCAGCGTGTGAGTAAGGCTCTGGAGCTTGCTGCTTAGATGGTGGCATCTTTTTCATTGGGCGCCTTCGACTCAACAGCTCGTCTCCCCTCCACCGCCTCTCTCAGGCCGCATCAGACGTTGTCCAAGGTCAGGGCAACAGACGTTGGGGGCAGTCGGACAAGAGAAATACGGCAAGAAGCTCTTTGGATTCTTGACATGGTTGTGGTCACACCTCTTGACTGGTTATCATTGTGGCTCAGATGTGAAACGGCAGCTGAAGTTTTCTGCGTGTCGGCAACGCATCAGTGCATCAATGCATCAGCTTTGAAGATCCGACTATTCCGAGTTTAAAGTCAATCTGCCATGTGTAGAAGGACCACTTTGGGCACCTCTTTCAAGGCGATTGAAGAGGGTGCCCTGGTGTTGACCCTCCCATGTCGTGCGTGAACATGTTGGGGCCAAGCATCAGTTTTTTTAGTTGGAGGATCAGTTTATCCTAGAAGCCAAGGTATCAACTTGTGTCAGCAAAGTTTGAGCTTGTGGCTGATTTGAATTTGTAGCCACTCTGACCCTTGTGCCTGACGAATGTGTTGGGAGCTATCCTTGATCCCCTTTCGCAGAGCTGAACATTTCAGATGGGCCTGGGTCACCGAGAGTTCCAGATATTTCCCTGTGGTTTGCACATCATTCCATGGTTGCTGATTCTAAATGAGTTTCGCTTTGGTGATGTCGAACATATTCTAAGGAATCCGAGCGCGCCAATTGCAGGACGAGCGTTCTGAGAAGGCCCTCCTGGAGGAGCAAGGGAAAGAGGGAAAGCCACATGGACAGTGTGGTGGTGTATGAAAGGTATCGGATGGTAGAATGGAAGGTGTGTGGTTGTCTCATTGTGATATGTTATAGTTTCTTCACACAGCCGTCATCCTCGTGCTCTTCTTCGTTTTCCCTGTGGTCGCTGGCAGCGGCTTTGGGTCTGGTGGTGGTTGTCGCAGTTGTCGTGGCTGCTAATGGTTTTCGTTGCTGACTCCCAACCCGCCGCAGCTGCGCGCCCCCAAGCTTCGTATCTCCTGGCTCTTGCTCCTTAGGTGTTTGCAGCCAGGCAGCGCCTTGCAAGCAAGCCCGGTTCCAGAAGCTCGGCAACAGCAACGACATACACAACCACAACGACAACCACAACGACAACCACGACAACGACAACCACGACAACGACAACCACAGCAACAACAACAACAACAACAACAACAACAACAACAACAACAACAACAACAACAACAACAACAACAACAACAACAACAACAACAACAACAACAACAACAACAACAACAACAACAACAACAACAACAACAACAACAACAACAACAACAACAACAACAACAACAACAACAACAACAACAACAACAACAACAACAACAACAACAACAACAACAACAACAACAACAACAACAACAACAACAACAACAACAACAACAACAACAACAACAACAACAACAACAACAACAACAACAACAACAACAACAACAACAACAACAACAACAACAACAACAACAACAACAACAACAACAACAACAACAACAACAACAACAACAACAACAACAACAACAACAACAACAACAACAACAACAACAAACAACAACAACAACAACAGCAACAGCAACAGCAACAGCAACAGCAACAGCAACAGCAACAGCAACAGCAACAGCAACAGCAACAGCAACAGCAACAGCAACAACAACAACAACAACAACAACAACAACAACAACAACAACAACAGCAGCAGAAGCAACAACAGCAGCAGCAGCAGCAGCAGCAGCAGCAGCAGCAACGGCAGCAGCAGCAGCAGCGGCGGCGGCGGCGGCGGCGCAGCAGCAGCAGCAGCAGCAGCAGCAGCAGCAGCAGCAGCGACAGCAACAGCAACAACAAGAGCTGCACGACGCTGCGCCGCGCGAGCGGCTCTAAAGAGCAGCAACACGGGCCGCGTAGCGACTCACGTGTTTGTGCAGGAAAGGGACTGGTTTCAGAGCTTTGAAGCTTTCAACCACGCAGGTTTCCGCCAACCATGCTGCGGCTTTGCAGCTTGGGACGAGCTCCGCCCAAACCACGCATTTTGTGCCAGCCTTCAGCCACGAAAACCCTGCGATTTTTGGGTGTTTTAACAGCAGCGCCCCAACTGCAAGGTGCTTTTTGAACTCCCAGCAGCATCCCCAGCATCGCCCGCATCACCCGCAGCACCCGCATCACCCGCGGGCCCACACGCGCAAGCCTGCAGACCCAAAACCAACCCGCAAACCAAGCCCGAAAACGCGCCCGCCAGAAGCAGATGATGCAGGTGATGCTCATCATTTTTGTCTTCACGGGGCTCCAGCCGCATCCTCCGCAAACACGGGTTGGCTGCAGAGGGCGGGAGCTGTGGGGCTTCAGAGCCTTGTGCCTCCGGACCAACACAGCTGTTCAGCCAGTTGGCTGCGCCGGATTTACGTTGCGGGTGCGGAGCCGGCCGCGGCAGCACTGCCACTTTGATTTTCATATCCTACGAGTCCCCTTGCTCCTTAAGATGCTCGAAGCCAGGCAGGCAGCGCCTTTGGAAGCAAGGGCTTCCGCGGCGTGCGCGGGGAACCTGAATACGCGGGCAGCGTGTAGGGCGGGGGTCTGACAGGCTGCGGTTTGGCCAGCCTGATCTTTACAAGCGCAGGGCCAGCCCAGGCCAGCTGCCATTTGGTCAGCTTCATCAAAACTGTGTTTTTCCCACTGTTCAGCATTGAAACCGCTGTGTTTTTCAGTGTTGCAGGGGCAATGCCCCCAACTGCAAGATGCTTTGTGGCAGTCGGCATCCCCAGCATCGCCTGCATTCACAAGGAAGCTTGTCAGATCCTTTGCTTTGAGCTTTCTCCTTATTGGGCCCACATTTGCGCATTTCAGGCGAACAGCCGGAACATGGCTCCTCCTTCGTAAAGTCAACCACCTAACCACCCCTGGGCACAGCCGGAGGCCTCTTTATAAAAGGTTTCATTTTGTTGGTTCTCAAGTTTGGGTGCCAGCAATTCTGGTTGCCCCTCTTGGTTTCCATGAAAAGAGTACCAACTCCAAAAATCCAACACACGCACACAGATACACACACACACACAGATACACACCCATTTTGAGACCTCAACCTCTGGCTGTCCGCAGGAGTTCCGCCAGACCAACGCCTGGGAGCGGTTTATGGCCTTGTCCAGCACCAGCCCAAGGTGGAGATGCCGGATCGAAGTCTCGCTGGATGGTTGGGATGAATGGCTAGATGGGTATGGGTCAAAATTGAACCACCAGGGGACCGCAGGTTGTCGTCCATGATGCCATTTACCAGGGCTCCATTCTGGGTACTTATTTTTGACCCACAGCCAGATGGTTAGCTTTGCACTGGTTATAGGGGACTTACGGCACGGGGAGCCAAACTCAGATCATGGTTTGTGAATTCAGGATGACCTGAAGCTGCACTCCCCCAATTGGCCTCTGCAAATGGAAGCATGTCGTCCAAAGGGTCCGTTCGGGAGTCTCCATGTTGGACTGGGGGAGGGTTAGCTTTGCATTGGTTACATGGGGACTTACAACCATGGCTTTGCTGAGTTATAAACAGGGTTACTTACCATTGAGTTGCCAGACCATCTAAGTAGCGGAGGCACAGGTGCAGGGATGCCGCGGAGAAAATGATCTACCCCATAGGTCAGGTCACATATGGACACCGCCTTGGAAACGTAGCTGAAGGCTGCGCACACTTCAAGATTGGTATTTTCTTGCAAGCGGATGACGAGGCTCAAACCCAAACAAGACGTAGCTTCAGCTTGTGAAGTTCAGCCTGTGCGTATTTTGTGAGTCTGGTTGGGCCGGGCCCGTTGCTGTGCTGGGCACAGGCGCACCTTCAGAATTTGCGAAGCTGCCTGGTTCACCGGCTGTCCGGGGGCACGCCGGACCTTCCGCGCCGTGTCATGTGGCAGCCATCCAGCCATCCAGGAGCGTGGCGATTGCCAGTTGCGGGGCGGACGAGCCACGCCTCAGACACGCGTTTGGTGACAGACAGCACACGTGCAGCGCCAAAACGTAGCGCCTGGCTGTTCGGACTTGGCAGAAAGGAAAGTGGAAAAGTTTGCGCTGCCTACTGACCATTTCCACAGACGGATCTGTTTCAGGCTACTAGCCAAGTCACTGGCCGGTGCCAAGTATTCGTCAGAGTGGCTTGCCGTCGTAGGCAGCGGCCTTGATCAGGGCATCTCATCAACTCCTGGTAGTTGCTTATTTGTTGGCGGTTTCTGACATTCACAGACCTTCAGCTAGGGGTCTTTTTTTTTCCCCCGAAGCAACCATATGGGTGGCTGGGCTTTCTTTTGGGGCCCCAAAACGGTGATTTTCATGTTGGTTTCCCTTTAACACCCACCAGGGGGCACCGACTCAAGAAAAGACGGGCCTTGGGGTTCATCTCACGCGGCCCGCGGCCTGATGCTGCAAGCCTCGGAGGGACCGGGTCTCCCTCCCCATTTCTCCAATGGGGATAAGGGTGGGGATTGCAAAACCCCAGTGGTTTGGAACAGAACCAGCTCACAGGTTCACAGGTTCACAGGTTCACAGGTTCACAGGTTCACAGGTTCACAGGTTCACAGGTTCACAGGTTCACAGGTTCACAGGTTCACAGGGACAGCCAGCAGCCGATGTTTCAGCAGCGTGCCATGCCCTGTTTGCGGTTTGGACCCATTTGTGAGGGAACTAAGAAGGGAGCACAGAGGGGCGCGAGTCGACTTTCATGAGCCAAACCTCACGTGCTGCGTCCCGTCCATCGAATTCTCACGCCGCGAGGCGGCAGCTGTTTGATCAGGCGATCCGCCGGAGCCCAGGGGGCTCGGCGGTTGAGGGCCGAGGTTTGGATTCTTCGACCATGACGCTTTGCCTCTATCATACTGTGGATGGACGAAATCCTGCACGAGATGGAAACCATGTTGGTATTTGCAGGGGAATCATCACTCCAGGCCTCCTTGGGTGGTGCAGGATTTCGTCTATCCACAGTAGGTTGGTGGAAATCCCACCTTGGAGCTGTATAAATAACCCAATGGTCGGTGGACACCAACCACAGGGCAAACGTGGTTTTCTGGTCATCTGCACCCGGCCATGAGCCGCTTGCCCAGCCCCTAGGTGGGTCTCTCTCTCTCTCTCTCTCTCTCTCTCTCTCTCTCTCTCTCTCTCTCTCTCTCTCTCTCTCTCTCTCTCTCTCTCTCTCTCTCTCTCTCTCTCTCTCTCTCTCTCTCTCTCTCTCTCTCTCTCTCTCTCTCTCTCTCTCTCTCTCTCTCTCTCTCTGAAGTCCCGTTGCGACTTGTACAGAAATTTCATGGTTGGAAACGCTTCAATCATGCTGGATATGAGCCCCTTAAATGATGTCCACCTTTGGTCGCCCATCTTCTTTCCTTGTTGACCATGTGGATATTGAAGCGGATTTTCTCAGCCACGGAATCGGTAAGTGTTTCTGCAGATGGAAATGGACAGGTGAGGTTTGGTACGTTCATTTCTGCATGGTCTGTCGGGACATGGGGAATTCCATTTTCCCAAGTTCATTTGGATTTCCATCTTTCCATGGGTCCATGATGCCTTAGCCGAGGCCTCTATGGCTTCTGGTCGCAAGAGCCACCGGAAAGCGGGGGGCCCCGGTGCCAGATTACGTGACAGCAACAGTCGGCGTTAGTGCTGATTTGACCATCTGGTTTCCAAGTTGGCAGCTTGATATGGGTCCTTTTCCAGCAAATCCAAAGCTCTTCCTCATGGTGGAGCTTCATTTGTTTCCATTCGAATCGGCTGCTAGCGGCTCAAAAGGCCCGCTGTGGGCAATGAGCAAAGAGATCTATAATTAGATGGGGTGTCAAAACAAGCAGGATCCCGAGACGATTTTATCAGAGCAAGAGGACACCATGGTCGGGAACCCATGTTTCACGCTGCCCATGTGGGAGCTGGGGATTCAGCGCTGGTGGTTGGGGAACCTTCAGATTGCGACTTTGTTTGCAATGCTCTTGATTGCCCATGCCAGCGATCATGTGTAAGGGCCAGATGGCTATCATGAATCATCTTCATTTTCGTTTGTGGAGAACTATTGTCGCTTCATGGTGTTGTTTGATCCAACGCGCAAGTGCTGACACATGGATAGCCCCCAACAACACGAGACCAGCATGCCAACCCTTGAATGTTGCCTTCGAAGAAGATGAGAACAAAGATCTCCCCGCCACACACTCAGCTATATATGAATATATGTTATACGCACATATACACATCTGTATGTATGTATGTATGTATGTATGTATGTATGTATGTATGTATGTATGTATGTATGTATGTATGTATGTATGTATGTATGTATGTATGTATGTATGTATGTATGTATGTATGTATGTATGTATGTATGTATGTATGTATATATATATACATATGCATGCACATCCTATGCTTGTTTGCCACATGCTTTGCATGCTTGTGTTTCACTTTCACGATGCATGATTGCGTGGGGTTGTTACCTGTTCAGCAGCGAGTCCGTTTTGCAAACTGAACTTTCATGGCAGTGACAGAAGACGAAACAAAACACCACAGGGCGACGGACACTACTTTGATTCGTCCAGATGCGACGGACACTAGTTTGATTTGTCCAGATCCATGGCTAGAAATTGCCCGGAGGACAACACCGAGAATTCCGGATTCGTAAACTCTGCAGTTCAGATGGGACCCTCACTTGTTTTCTTGGCGGGGGGAAGACCGGCAGTTCATCCGATGTGTGACAGCCTCCCTGACGGGACAGCCTGAGGCCGCAAGCCGCTGGAACACAACCTGCGAGATTGGGTGACTCGCCTGGGCGCCCGGAAGTGGTCCAGCGAAAGGGCGCCCTACCTCTCACCCCTTTTTTGGTTGGTTTTGGGTTCCCCTACTACGGGAAAAAAAGGGGTACCCTTATTCTGACCTCTCTACTGGAGGACCTAGGGTTGCTGGTGGCCTTTTCAATTGGGACCTTTTGCATAGCTGCTCGTTCCAAGGGAAGTGGACAGGGGCTAAAGGGCTAAAGCCCCGAGGGGTTTTCGAACCTGCCAGCTTTTGTGATGGGCATAGAATGAGCTTTGTTTCCTTTCAGTCAAACTCAAACCAGGTTTTTTCTCGCTGGCCGCTCGGCATTCTCTTTGGCAACAAGCGTGGGCTTTGGTTGCCGGTGGAATCGGGTCCTCACGGCCTCACCGGGTCTTACAGGTCTCTTATTCGGAGACAAAATGTCATGTGGAGGGTTTTGCGAAATCGGATTTCGCAGCACCAAACAAACCCAGGGATTTTTTGTTGGGTATTTGTAGGGGAATCAAAGCAGAAAGAAACCAGGGTTTCTGCTCGGTGGTGCGAACGGATTTCGTCCACACAGTATGTTTTGAAGGATGGGCATAATCCGTATGTACATATGACCACCAACTGATGCCCATGAGGAAGGTCAAGCAAGCTACAGTCGCCACAGTGGCCTTGAATCTCACAGACACATTTTGGTTTCGGGGGAGCTTTTCAGAAGCAGACTCCCCCCCCAAAAAAAAACGATGTCTTTTTTGGGACACATCATCCTACAGTGAACAAAGCTGGGCAAAGCACCTCCGTGTGTGTCGAACGCCCTTTACTGGAGGTAACTCGTGGTCCAACCATTGCCAGATGAATCGCTCACCTTTCCAACTTTTGCCTTTTTGGTTTGCTTCATTTCCCCTTTCAACTAGCAAGCAGTTAACTCTTTGCAGACGGTCGGATGGGGCGAGGAACCATGTCCATGTGAAGAAGGGGGCATGGCACCCTTTGCAAGCGGCACCTTAGTCGCTGCTCAACTTGAGGCTTGTACGAGCCCCCACAGCTGATCTGCTTGCCGCTCGGCTGAACGGAACGCAGATGGGTAGGACACTTGTTGGGCCTTGGTGTTCATCCTGCCAGGAGGCAAAGCGACCCTTTGGGTTCTGGAGTGCACGAAGTCATCGTGTCCACTCTGATTTTGAGCCAGAAAAGCTCAGTTTTCCTGGAAACACGAAATCTCAGGGGGCACGGCACTCGAAGCTGCTGGATGCTTGGCAAGGGCAACGTTAACAAAAGCAGCTCCTAAATTCAGCCCATAGTTTCTTTCAAGTGCCTGGACTGGGAAACTCAGTGACGGGTGTCGTGATTGAAGTTTTTCGGCTTCTGCCTCGGTTCCCTTCCAACATTTGCCGGGAGCGCGTGTGTGTAAACATCGAGCACCGGCTGTTGATACGGTAGCAGCCTGTTTAGAAAATGCCCACACGACGATTGGACGAGCGGTCAATTTTCCGGCAGGACCAAGATGCCTAGGCCGACTGACCCTAGTCAACACTCGAAGATTCAATTTGGGTGGCCCCTTGGCATTGCTGTCCATTGAGCAAGTCTCGCAGACACTCCACATCTACACCAACGAATTCCCCCAAACCACCATACTTTCTATTGCTACTAGCGCAACCAGTACACAACAATACAGCAACCTCGCAGAAGGAGCTGCAAACCAGGGAAGGGGTAGGGGGTCCTTCCAACCCACTCGACTGCGTTTTTTGCCAGAACGGGGGCTCAGAATTAAACCACCAGGAATGGGACCGCAGGTTTTAGTCCATGCTTCCATTTACCAGGGCAACCCATTTTGGGTACCTATTTTTGACCCACAGCCAGAAGTCGGGTGTTTTTTTGGGTGGGTCAGGAGCGAGGCCCTGCCGCTGCGTTGCGGCCCACTGCAGCCGCCGCGGGCTGAAATCGCCGGTGGTGGGGGGGGTTGGGGGGGGTGGTGGGGGTGGGGGGGTTTATTAAAGCCCACCATTTTTGCGGGAATCTCGTTTTTGAGGGTGCGGGGTGGGCTGGGGGGCTTGCTCGCAAATTTGCCCCCTGATTAATGCCCCCTTCCCTTCAAGGTTGACAAGGTGTCACAATATGCTGGGTAGACGGGGGGGGGGGTTGGCGCGGACTTGAGAGTCGGTGATTGGGGGGGGGGTTGGGGGGATGGTTACGTTTGGATTGCGCTGACTTCTGGCAGGCGTATGCGGGGGTAGTTCTGTTTCGATGCGACGGTGCGAGCTTTGGCGTATGGACATGAGAAGTCGATCCTTCGCACTCGGTACGTTCCGCCTGATCTTCCACGGATGCCACGCTTTGCTTTTGCGCCGTGCTGGTGCCACGAAATGGCCCAAATCCACTCCAAGGACTTTTGCGCCCCAAGTTGGAGCACATGGAGGCGGAGCAATGCTTGCAGGGGCTCTGTGCTTCCTATTCTCCAAAGGCGAGGCCAAACAGCACGCGCTGGCCCGGAGCGTCTCTGCAACCGCCCGCACGCATCTTTGTCACCTTGATCCGCTTCTAAAAAAAGGGGGTTGCCGATAGAAGTATCGGCCAGAACTTTTGTAATGCAACATTCGCGGCTTTCATCTTTTTCGTTTATTGAAAAGTGCCAAACAGACAGATTACCCGGGAACCTTTACAGTAGTATTGGTGGCAGCTGGCTGGAAAACAGGATGCCTTTGATCAGAGCGCTTTATTAGTGATATTTTTTGCACCTTTCAAATTGGCAGATTTGCTGCAGACCATTTTTTGCCTTTTCCCAGCAGTTCAGTGGATTTCACCCCTTTTCTCTTTTGTTTAGTGGAAACCCTCCAAAAAGGATCAACCCCTAAAAGGGGTGCCTTGGTCTACAAGGGTCACTGGACAGCGAAACAGCGGTCGATTTTGTTCGCAGCACGTCCCGTTTGTCAGTCATCCTTGACATCTTCCTGAAGAACCTGTCTACACTTCGCCGTGCGGCGCAGCCTTTGGTTCTTCAATTTCGAGGAAATTAGACTGTTTCAAGCACGCGCACGTCTTGAATACATTAGCATGGAATAAATAGATATTGCTGCAGATCTGCTTTGTCGGTTTCTAGAGCTGAGGCAATGGTCGATAGGGCTAGTTGGGGCTTCCACCGGCCTTTTTTATTTCTGGCGAGCGGGTTCCCCTTTGAAAGCCAAGTGCCACAAACGGGGTGCTCACGTTGCCCCGTGGCCAGTCCAAAAGCTACGTCTAAGCCTTCTCAAGCGGATCTTTCCCAAAAGATCTGGTCCTTTTGGTTTCCCTTTGAAGCCATCCCGAGAAGTGTGTCCTTTTCCAGTTTCCCGAAAACAACGGTATGCTGATTCTTTTTGTAGGGAGTCGCTTTCCAAAGTTTGGTCCGGAAGCGCGACTAGCTGCTAGTGTTTCTCACCATGAGTCAACAGAAGGATACATGGCAACAGCGTGTTTCCCTCAACATCGTCAACCCAAAATTGACGCCACTTGGTTCCAAGACACCCTGGGAACAGCCATACCCACAAAACCCAGGATGGAACTTGCTGGTGCTCAGCAAAGAATGAGGGAATGATCCCTATAAACACCATCCCCCTTTATTCGGGAATGCCCTTGCGGTTGGACCGGTGATTCCCTATCGCACCAGCAAGAGGCCAAACAAAGAGGCCCCCAAAAAAAAGCCGATGCAGCCCCAAAACTGGCCAAACAACTGTGTAACTGGCCAGAGAAAAACTGTGGCCAACAGAAAGTGGCCCAAAAGAAACGTGGCCCAAAAGAAACGTGGCCCAAAGAAAATCTGTGCCAGAGAATTCCTTGCCCTGAGGCACCTGCCGGTGCGGAAGCTCCTGCAGCGGCTTCCCAGGCTCGTTTTTTTTTTGTTGCTCTCTCCGGTCCGGCGGCGTTTGAAAGCGGAGGGGTGGGTGGGTGGGTGGGTGGGTGGGTGGGTGGGTAGGTGGGTGGGTGGGTGGGTGGTGTTTTTTCTTTCCTTTCATTCTTGTTTTTCTTTTGAGGGTAAAGTTGGTTCGGTGGCTTGGAGAAAGGAAGTCACAAGGAACCTGGGCATTTACTTTGGGGGTCCCCCCAGAAAAGGGAAAAGACCCAAATGGCTGTGGCTCGTAGATTAGGGATAGTACTTTGGCCGTTCAGAGAACTTCCCTCCCGCATGCTTGGAGAATTGCCTCATTCTGTCCAGATCCTCAAATAACATTCACCAGATCTTCCGGGACTCAGATCTCCTATTAAACCTTTCCGCTAAGATGTTCCGGGGGGGACTTGAGTCAAGCTAACGCTACGACCCACATAGTTGTAGGTCCTCGTGGGTTACTAACTATGTGTCTAAGTCCAAGACCCCCAAGGGACAGTCCTGAGCCTAAGGCAAAAACAATCATTGGTTTGGGTGAAAACTTGGACTGACCAGCTAGCCGAGGACCTACCAGCTGGTGCAGGATTCAGCTCATACACAAGGCAACCCTCCACCCCCAGTCTGTAGAAAAAGCAACAAACTAAATCTGCGGCGGACACGTTGCTGTTCGCCTGAGCCAGGCCCGCTCCGGGCGTTTCAGGTAGTGGCTGGGGAAGCTGCGCAGGCCGCTCGCGGCCCAACGCCTCGAGCGCAAGCAACAGATCCAAGCGCCGATCCAAGCGGCGCCAAGAACCTTGGCTCGACGGAGACGAGTCAGTGCCAGATTTGCGGCGTGAGCAAAACAGGCTCGAGGGTAGAAGAGCAAGAAGAAGCCAAAGTTTCACATCCCTGGAGCTCGCGGAAATGTCGTCGCGACGGTGTCCAGACCTTCCGGATCATTGGCCTCCTGAAAAACATTTCAGACCACATCTAGATGAAATGAGCCAGGGTGTTGGGGAACACACCTGAGGGCCCTTGCGCAGGTTTCTGTTAGATCGGCTGGGTCTAATGAGTCTAATCAGTGTTCACTTGGGATCGGCTTGGATCAAAACCGCAATAAGCACATGGCCCGCAGCATACTATTGGCTGGAATTTCATGATCTTGTGAAATGCCGCAGGTGCCCCTCAAGTGGATCAATGCCCCATTCACAGGAACACCCCTGAAGCAATTCAGAGAAATTTGCCAATACGAAGCTGATTAGCCTTGAGTTGGGAGGTATGGAATTGTGCCATCTGCTCCAATCCCAGTCTGACATGCCCCTTTTGAACTCTACAGTTGGGGGGGGGACTCTTGACTTCGCATGGAGTGCTTGGTTCCGCTTTTTGCCTTTGCGCAGTGGCTACCCCTGGAGCAACATATTTCCCTACAAATTCGCCAGCGCCCCCTGACCTCTTGGTGGTAATATGAGGGACTACATAATTTCGCCTTTCTGACTTAATTTGGTTCTGAAGTAATCCACCTTCCACAGAGGTTTTCTTGTGTGTTTTGGGCGTCCCGGTCCGGCCGAGAGAAAGAAGCAGCCCGTTTTCTCGGCCCCGAACTTCGAAGGCGGGTCTCCGCGAAAAAACAATCAATATTAGGGGCAGACTCGCTATGACTCGGACTCCGACGTTTCAGCATCTTGATGCAGCTAGTGCTACTACCAGACCTGTTGAGCCCAAAGGCAGCCCATTGAACATGAAGGGCACTTTGGCCTTCCGATGTTCGGACGCGAGATGTTTTGTTCTACGGCGCAAGGTGAAACTGAGAATGTCTTTGGATACAGAACAATGGTGCGTGTGTCTGTTTCGTGTTTTGCGGCCTGATTCCAAGCATGTCTGCAACCACTCATGAGGCAAATCCAAGCCCACTGGTGTTACTACCAACCAGACTTGGTTCAACAGCCCAGGCAGCCCATCTTTCACATCCATGTGGTCCCTTCCACTTGCTGCCGGATCCGGATCCCACCGCATCGAAGAGCCCAGAAAAAGGCCCATCGAAAAATAAAGAGAACATACATATAAAAATAAATAAACAAAAAACAAATCAAGTCTCCGTGGGTCTTTGCGCCCCAAGGACGCCCGGATTTCAGCCCGCGCATCCGAAACGCCTCCAACTCCACCGGCTCGATCGAGCGATGGGCAGGTCCAAGCGCTCGCGCTTCGAGGCCTTCGGGGACCTCGAGCTGAGCCGCTTCGAGGCGTGGAGCCGGAGGCCAAGGAAACACTCGGTCCCCCACTCGGTGCCCGACCTCTCAATCCTTTTGTTGTGGGGTTTGGGTTCCCCTACTCAAATAGACAGAGAAAGGGCCAAGCAACCGCTTCCAGCCGAAAGAAGGCAGGAGAAACCTCGCCTGTTTCCAAAAGTGGAGGATTTATGATTTGCGCCTGTCAGCTTCCCCATGATTGGAGGGAGGGGGAGGGTACCCTACCAAGGTTGCATTCAAAAGTTCCCAGGGAAAGAACACCGACCTTGCGCTTTTTGGTCCAAAGCAGAACACCCATTTCAGTGGAAAAGCATCACCGATAAGCTTTGGGGAGAGCCTGCCACCGAAACTCTTCGGGGGCTGGGGTAGATATCCATTCACCAAAAACGCCGCAACACAATCCGGTGGTTGGCAACCAAGGGTACTGAAGGCTATGATTGGGGGAGGGAGGGTACCTCCTGTTTGCCATGCACCAGAAAACGGGTTCCTTGAGGAACATGTTACTTCCGCGAGAATCTTTCTGGTGCACCCTTGGTCGACACCTCCTTTGTGGATGGGTGGTTGCGCAAAGTCCGAGAGTCGCAAGCACGAAATGAGAATCCATGGGAAGGAAGCCAGACCGTTTCTTTGGCATTGACGTTGGGGAATCCAATCATTCCAATGGTTTCCGGACAGTGCTGCGAAATGGATGGATTTCGTCCAGCCACAGTAGCCTTCCATTTTTCTAGGTTGGATGAATTTGCAGAACCACCCAGGGTTGGGAGCCATTCGCCTTATTACTGTCTCAAGAGGATTCACCGGCTGTAATCAAAGCGAGGGATGGGTAGGCGCAAGCGCCGCACGAGTGGGCTCGACGGGAGGGCTGTTCTGAGATCGGCGATTCTATAAATGGATGGTTTCCTTTTGGATTCCCTGTCAGCACCATCAGAAAAGGAAAAAACACACCTTGAACTTAAACAAATATTGGGAACATGATGTTTCACCAATGGGGGTGTCCGAAAGCAGGGCGTTCCCTTCTTGGATAGTGCTACAGGAATCATCTGCTTAGGTGCCCTTTGGACCCGCGACAAGATGCCACCAGGCAGTGCAGGCCTTGATCGATTTGAGGCCAGAGATGCCGAGTGGAGCACATGGCCACACGCCGGGTGTCGAATGGAGCACTTGGCTTTTGCGCTTGCGACGAGTGCGTCCTTTCGCTTCAGGGAGCTCACTCATCTCTGGCAGGACATTGACAGTGGCACACAAAATGCAGTTGGCCAAAACATGCCAACACCTGGCAAGAGAGCACTTGCGGGCTCAATAGACAGCTTGATCTTCTGGGGAATGTTGAAAGGAAAATCGCCGGAAGCGGGGCAGGGCCAGTTTGTTTCTTTTTGGGGTTTTGAGCAGCCCTTGTTTCTGAGGTCCATGCCTTTTAAATCTTCTGAGAGTCCAGGTCACGCCTCATGGCGTATGTCTCAAGCATCCTTTGTGATTTTCTCGCAAGGGAGTTTCCCTTGGTGGGAGGTTTTGAACGGATCGCTTATGAGCAATTGGCAACATGATTGGTAGTCTGGCTTTGGTTTGGGGAGGACATGGGTTTGTCACTTCCCGCAACAGCCAGGAGACAACCCAATGTCCCCATGTCCTCTTGGGAAAATCAAGGCATATAGTGTTTGTGGCTTATATGACCATGGGTAAAAGGTCAGTCTTTGCAACGGGCACTCTCCGCAAGTAATCCAACCACCCTCAACCACAAAAACACGGTAGATTACAGTGAATTCGATGACTCCTTTGTTCCCTTACTTGCAACATTTAGGGATATCCTGGACTGTTACCCAGCTCCTGGCAGGCTGAGATCAAGAAGCAGGAGGACCGCCGCATTTTTGCGAGGGTTGGGTTTTGGCTTTCGCAGGATGAGTGTTGTAGGTCAGCCGTTTGAAAGAGGTGCCCTACCACCAACTAGTTCTTGTCAGGTTTCATGTTGATTGGTTGGATGGTACCTTTGCTTGCCAGCAACAAGGTAGCGCTTTCACTTTTTTTTGTTTGGGGGGGGGGTGAGGAAGGCAGAGAGAAACGACCCATTTGTTTCACGTTGATAGGCCCCACGCACGATCCGAAGGGGCTTGTCTCAAAATCGAACCCTCCAAACATGGTGCCCGGTTTCCTGGTGGTTTTTCTTTTCAGAAAGAACACCAAGAAGGATACCCTCCAAGTCCAAAGACGCCCAACTGGCGGCAGTTTCTCTGATGACCCCTCGGAGCTCGCAGGAGCGGAGCTGCCTGGGTCTGCCGAGGCTTGGGCGTCTTGGGCGTCTTGGGAGTCGCGGGTGTGGATGGACAAAAATCCGCTTCGCACCACTTGGAAACCATGGGAAACCGCTGTTTGTTGGCATTTACACGGGAATCGAATCCTTTCGGGGTTTGCTAGGTGCTGCGAAATGGATTTTGTCCATCGACAGTACTGGGATACACCACCTACCAACTGGTGCAGTTTGTTGTTGCCCACCCGCAGTAGGTGGCTTTTTAGGACAGTTGGGTTCATCTAATGCATTCCACTGGTTTCAGATTGGTTCTAATCTCCTATGAACGATGGATACTTGCCAGTTGCCCAATGTGGACTGCGATAATTTCTTCCCAAGTTCGCTTGATGGATGGGTTTTTCAATCATCCTGAAGATAAAGTTTCCATTTGTGTGAACAGCTCAGGTGAGGCGAGAGTGCCACACAGGGTTTGAGCTGAGGCTCCCGAAGTTTTTTGGCAAACCGAGGCAGCGGATGCGTTTTCCGAATGCATTTTCAGAAGTATAACCAGACTCTAAATCAACAGAAGAAACCCAAAACACGGGGTAATGGGACACGCGGGAGGGCAAAACAAGTCACGGAACACGTCGGAAGGGAGGCGAGTCACTCCTTGGCTTCTCGCTCTGGGCTCCAACAGGTTTGGTGTTCCCCCCGGGCTGGAATGGTGCTCCCCCCTTGTGGAACGAGGCAAAGCGGTTCCGCCAGTATGTTGTTACGCCTTTATTACTGTGATCTCAATAAAGGCAGACAGTAGAACCAGCTACAATGGACCTTTGGGGTTGTGAAATCCAAAAAGGAAAGCCAAAGAAGTTCGCACGGCGCGTGAAGCGGTGCCCTTTCCAATGATGTGTTGGTGGGTTTTAAGGGGACACCAAAAGGGAAACCACCATGTTTTGGGGTTTCCTCAAAAAAAGCCACACCCGTTTGCCCGCTCAGCGACCTGGAGAAAACTCCCTTTCAAAATGCCTGAATCCAAGGGGAATATGGATACATGGAAGCTGCGTTGGATCTCAAGCACTCTCTGTGAAAAAAGCTCCCCCCTACCTTTCGCAAAGGCACCCTTTCCACTCACGCAGTTCAGTAAGGCCTAAACCATGTTGGTGGAACCCAAAGTCAGTAGACTTTGGGCGCTCATATGATCCGATGGATTTCAGGATCCGGCAACAGCCAAAACAGGACATGCGCATTGAACCTCCGGTGTGTGGTGGCTTGTGCTTCGTTCTTCCGGCTGGTTTCTTAGGTTGAAGGAGCATCGGAGTAATGATCAAGAGCTTCAAGTAGAGTAAAAAAGATACCCAGATAACACTCCTTCAAGCATACTTTCAAATTCACCTATAAGTGCGGGCAAATGCCATTTCCCGATGTCTCTTGCAAGTGTCAAATCAGGCACCGCTTGAGAATGAGCGGTTTCATTGTGCTTCCTTTTCAGTCCTCCCCCAAAAAAGGCTGAACATGTTCTTGTGAACATGTGTTAAGAGCAGGGATTGCTTCTGGTGGTTTGTTGGCTGTTGGCTCCCCTTGAAAGGCATATAAGGGGATTCCTGCGTTAAACCAACCCAACAAATGTCATGTTCCTCCACCACAGCCACTCCGGCCCAAGAGAATCCCTTGGATAACTTCTGGAGCAAGCCCAGTAGGGATCATGTGGTGACATGACTTGCCACATCTTTTGTCATCTTTCAGATTGAGATGACTCTGGCACAGCGATGCAGGGTAGTGGCCAAGATTCTGGGGGGGTCGCTTGCTTAAATCCTCTTCTCATATTACCCAGCTGTTTTAGCCGGCCCGTTGGTGTTGCCCTACTGGGTATATGCCACTTCAAATGGCAGCATGGCCGTTTAGATTCAGTCATGCAGTGGCCAAGGCAACCATCGATGCAAGCGACGCGTAAGTTAAGTATGGGAATCTCTTCAATTCGGCTTGTGGCATGGTCAAGTGCCACAATCAAGCCCGGGGAGATAACGGCGCTTGGGATAGTCCCGACCATAAGATATAAATGGCTGAGGCCAGTTCTTTACATGGTTTGTTGGGTAGACTATTTTGATGCCACTCAAGTTCAGTCCCAACTGAGCGTGCCCACCCGCGTGCAACAGCCAGCGCTGTCGGCGCGAAACGACAAGCCATGGATCCATGAAGCGACGGCGCGAGGATCAGTGGCAGGCGGGGCTCAGGTGCTCCACTTAGCCTGGGCCAACGACTAAAATGGCCTGAAGAGTTGCCCCCCTGCAATTTATTGTGGAACCGGAACCTTACAAAGGGGTCCCCCCAATGGCGGACATGACGGGTGTTTGGGTTCCACATGAATCAGCAGGGGCTTGGAATCCAATATTTGAGTCATGATCAGAGCTGCTAAATTGGAACCTAAGGCTTTGGTTGGACACGTCCTGTCAAAAGTCAGGTGCATGAGCAACAGGCGCCTAAGTGACACATGATTTCATAACGCGACGGGCATGGTGGTGACAACTGTGATTTTAGGGCCAGGAACCCACCTAAGACATACAGTAGTCATGGGTATGGCTAGCTTCGGCGTCACGGAAAGGGTGATATTCCACAGCGACGGGCAGGTAGGGACAATGTCGCGTTGACTTGATTCGTGGCTTCCAGTGAAAGCTTGCTGATGTCCTATTTTCGGTTTTAACAAGGTTTCTAGTGGCTACCCTTCATTGTTGTTGGGGAAGTTTTACATGTTTGCTTATTGTGGTCTAGTGGTTGAACTCCAAATCCACTGAACTGCTATTTTTGTCAATCAATTGCCAGCCCCTTACGTCTACCCAGGCTAAATCTAGTGTTCAAGGTTCAAGGTTCCAGAGCTTCCCACCATTTACAAGGCAATGTTCAGGTGTATAATGTAAGGATCCCTGTTTCTCTGAGACGCGAAGGGACTCCTTTCGCGCGTTCGTTCAGTGGCGCCCATTTCTTTTTCCTGCTTGTCTCGTAGGTTAGTAGAATAGTGTACTGAACATGGCCACTGAACAACTTGTGTCACGGCCACTGGCGAGCGACAGGAGCACGGGCCGAAGTTCCACTTTGTACTCTGGGACCGATGCGAGGGCGCCTTCACTTACGAAGAGCCTCTGACTTTGGCCCCTCTGCTGCAAGCCAATGCTTAGCGGTTTTGGACCCACCGGAATTGCGCCATCTTTCACCCAGCTGACAGCACCCTTACCCCCAGCTTCCCACAAAAACTTGTGTCGTCTTTGACCCCTCGCCCTTACCCACCAACAAACAAAATGCGTCCTCTCTCTCTCCCCCAGCTGACGGCCAACTACTTCACCCTGCTGACAGCACCCTTGCCCGGCTCACTCTCACCCAGCTTTGTTTCCCCGCACCCAGGAGCGGGCGCTCTCCTCAGATGCGGCGTCCGGCTCCCGGCTCTGCGAGGAGTGCGACGGCGTGGTGGACCCCTGGCGCCGCGGCCTGGATGCCGTCCACGCGCCTCGGTGGATCCGGCGGCGGATGCCGGTGGAAGTTCGAGTGGAGTAAGCGGTGACTGGTGTCGATTGGTCAATCTCTATATACATATATACATATATATATATACACATACATACACATATAATATACATATATACATATATACATATAAGCACATAGAAACATGCGTTTTGAGGTATTTACCCTTTCCAGAAAGATTTAAAGGGGGCCATAGGTTTGGCAAATCCCTTTTTTTACACACACCAGTACCAAGATGACCTGGGCGTGTTAGCAGGAACAAGGGGAACTGTATTGCGTTTTGCGGGGTGCGGTTTTTCATTTTGAGACTGGTTATCTATGGTCAATTTGGGAGGGACATGGGGGACGAGCTCTTTTTGTTTTTTAAACAAACACACTGGGGGACACTCCATTGCGCTTCCTGCGCGCATGTTGACTGTGGCTCGGTTGCCGCATCTGCTGACCTTCAAGTGTTCCATTTGGGTCCATGCTTCGTCTACAGCTTGGTTTCAATGAGTTGCGAACTGGGCAGCCAACAAAGGCAGCTCCTGTTTTCGTGGAGCGTTTTTTCTCTCTCCTTTTTTTTTCTTCCTGAATATGCGAACCCGGGTGTGAAGGAGAGGAGCAGACGAAGGTGGTTGCAATAGTTTGTATATAGTTGTCTTCTGCGGCAGGGAAGCTTGGAGGCCATGTGTTTTTCTTTACGACTGGTCGCGGTGCTAAAAAGCTATCACAGAATTTAAGTCCTTAGCTTTTTCACCCTTCTGACCAATCAGCACCTGCGACGCTTTGTCAAGCTTTGGCATGCTGCTATTGTTTGGGGGCGATTTGCGAGCGGCGAGCTTTGCCAAGTCTAGCTTCTTGAAGCAATCAATCTTCCGGGGCCTGGCATAGGCGATGGGCATGACATGTGCATGGGAGACCCGTCCCTTTTGATGAGCCGCCGACGCATTGGCGCCAGGCCATGCAGGTGGCTTTCTTGCCCTTGAAGCGGATCAAAGGGAACTTGGACCCAGAAATTCGGACCAGTGCCCCAAACTCTGCAGGGGAGCCATATATTGAGCTTGTGCTTGGCTCTGGTTTTCTGGGTCACGTCTGATTTTCCTTTTGAGGAAAATGGGCGGTCCTTTCAGTATTGGACGGCACATAGACAAGCCATTCGGCTTCCAACAAACACATGTCCAACCCAAGCATGAACCACTAAAAAGAAACCATGTGCTGTTTGAACCCTCGCAAACCAATGCACTGCAAATTGGTTCGCCAGTCCGAACTGTGCGCTTCAAGACAGCGTCAGCAGCACAATGAATGGATCTACTTGCAATTGCAGCACCGAGAGAACCCAGAATAGCCACACAAGACCATGCAGAATCGAGCTCTGTGAAAAGCATTGTGCCGCGTCGTCGCGCCTATGTCGGATGGCCATAGAGGTGGTGGAGTGGACAGTCAGTGCAGCTTCCAGAAAGACCTTGCAGTAACCAGTTTCACATTTCGAGCTGTGGCTGCTACGCTACGGTTGACTCCCTAAAAATTGCAGGTGAGCCAGTCACAAGTGATTTGAGACGAGATTCCTGGAAAATGTCTTGTGATGTTGAGGGCTTCAACTGTACAGGGGGCACAAGGCACAGTACTTGTTGAGCAAGCCGCTTTCGGAGGTTGCCAGCCACCTCCAATCATACGAGCGTTGTGCTTCCCACGAAGGATGTGCTTCACCTTGGCCCACCTCATTGACACAGACGTCACCGTGCCTGATTCGTTGGTCATGAATTGACCTTTGGGCATGAGTTGGGCCGGTGTGACACTGCATTGAGTATGACGAACTGGCGAAGGCCTTGACACCCTCCATGGCAACCTGGCCTCCATGGCAACTACCTGTGAAGCAGCTCCAGCAACTGGCTTTTAAGTTGGAATGCCCGCCAGGTCGATGGTGCGTTGGATGTGACTATGCGGAGTCACCGAGAAGCCCATGGCATCGCAGAATGCACGGGCGCAGGTTCATGTACCTTGGCAGGCTGTGCGTTGCAACCGCCTGCCAATCATCACCTTGTAGACCCTGCGCGAGTGAGCGAGACAACCGTGCGGTGCCGACACAGGCTTTATTGCGTTAGCTGGGGAGGCCTCACCACAGTTCCTCCAGGAGTGCGAAGAGCGCCTTTCCCAAGCAAAGTAAGAGTAGAGCGTTGCGCCATTCCGGGCATGCGCCATCTCGACCCACCCACACCAGAAAGGGGGGGGCAAGAAGTCTGACAAGAAGGTGTTCAGCGACTGGCTGTAGCTCTACCAAGTGAAGTGCAAAAGTTTGCAAGAACTCTTCCCCGGCTTTGAGTGCTGGTGCAGCAAGTGTTTCATGCCTTAGCCCTTCTTTGCCTGTCGGCAATCGTTGTTGTTCTTGGGGTTTCAGTGGCCGTGTGGTTGGGCTGTGTGCGACAAACGAGGCGGACATCGAAGGCTAAGAGAGACCCTTGTCACCAAAGTGCTTTCAGCAGGCCCCCGGCTAGAAGGCAACCCTTGGGCGGTGAAAGGCAGCGCTTCAAAGACTGGGCCCTTCTGTTGAGCAACGCGCGAGCACCTCCACAAATATCAAAAAATGTAAGCCAGACAGAAATCTAAAGGCTACGTTTGTAGAAAGCTTGGATGGCATTGAACAACACAGCTGGCTGAGCAGTATATGTGACGTGTTGGTTCAAGGCTGGGGGCTGGGGTCACGGGTTTGTGCGTTTCTGCGGCGACAGAAGTTTTAAGTTGCCTGCTGTTTGGCCAAATTGGCCTGATTCGGGGACTTGGCCCCGTTGAACGATTGCAGATTGGAACGCAGGGGGGGAGCAAGGCTGTGTGTACTCGCATACTGGAACTTCACAGGGGCTTCCTTGCAATTACATTAGATCTTTGTGATCATTGAATTCGAGAATCCGAGGCCTGGGAAGTGCAGTGAAGTTTCATCGTTTGCAGCATGCCCTCTGCTTTGTTTCAGGACAGCGTAGTTCATGGAAAGCCTTGTAAGTTTCATTTGCAAGAATGCGGGAGTTACACAACATGAGATATTCCAACCACTTTCGAAAAAGAGAATCGCAGGGCTTTTGTTGCAATGATGGAAAACCATTGCAGCCTTGCCTGGCCCACAGGCAAATGACCTGCTGAAACGGCCTTGTTTGCAACAGCCCGTGACCTTTTTTCAACGTCGCAAAGATGCGCTGCGCAAGTGGATGGATGCACGCGCGACGAGTTCAGAGAAATGGTCTGTAGTAGCACTTGCGAACAATCATGCTGCCCTTGCCAGGCGGTGGCAGGTAAAAGGCGCGGCCGTTTTCCGGGTTTTGCCACTGAGGCAAGCCTGGCACGAGAACGAGCCTTGCCTCAATGATGGCGGGGCCAATCTTTTCATTGCTTACATCCAAAGAAGACCTTGGTTGTTTGCTGCTTGCGTGTCGCAGCAGTTTCTGGCAGTGGTGTGTGCGGGAAGTGCTGTGCTTGAGATTGGCGAGGATATTCTGAGAACACCCAGAACGCTCAAGCTGACCCTTGTTCCCCGCAACATTTCAAGTTTGGGCTTGAAAGGAAAGCCACGGCGCCTGGCCCAGGGACTGCGACCCCAGACTGCGGCTTGGCAAGCAAGGCAACTGCAAAGAGTGCTGGAAAGTCGGGGGCTTTCTCCAACCGCGCGTAGAGGCGGCGATCGCATAGGAGTTGATTCTTCTGGTTCTGGACGCCTTCTGCAACCACGGGAGCCCCGCAATAACATGCTTGCCAACAAGCACGAGCTGTGTCAATGGTGCTTCTGAGATGCCACCCCCAAGAACAACAGGTTCGGCGTCATTTTCGCTTGGCTCTGCCAAAAGGCTCACGTCTTGTTAAATGAAGAGGCGGAACCGGGTTTGACCGCACGTCGTCTCGCCAATACGATTTTCTGGTTTCATGGCAGTTGGTACTGCCAACACTTGAACTTAGGTTCCCGCTACTACATGCAGCAGTGTTAATACTCAATCTAGCGTTGCCAGTGCTAAATTTACATTCCGGCACATTGGACCAACATCAGATATCGCACCCTGCTTTGTATTGGGAAGCAACTTTTGGTTGCCAGTCGATTGTGGTCCGCGCTGTGTGTTCGCTCTTGAACACCAAATAGTTGGAGTAGCGTGTGCCTGGCATATACCTATATAATGTGTTGCCAACACAAAGATCAGTACTATCCGTCATGAATCTTAGGTCCCCACATACCAAACTCAGTATGCCGACACATATTTTCCTATTGTCAATACTTTGACTTCGCAAACCATGGAAGGGGTTACCTATCTGCCAGTCCGCCACAGTGCGTGGTCAAAGCCTGTGCGACGACAGTTCAGAGTTCGTGTTCCATGTGCTTCGACCAAGACGCGTTCAGCCTTGTAGCGTGCGCGCTAGGATTTTCAAAGTTAGTAAGCCCACCTGCGCCCGCCGCAGGCGCAGGCTGACCAGGGTTACGCCGCTCACCTGAGGCTCGGCTTGATTACGGGGGTGGCCGGGCATAAGTTTGAGGAACGCCTTCAACATTCATCTTTTATGAAGGCCACACCCCATTTCAACCTCCAACACATGATTAGCGCAAGCAGCCTCGTCCAGATTTGTTTGGGCCAGCTTGAAGCTTATTGACTACCCATGCCAGCCCGTGCGTGATCCGATGATATGTATATGCGTGGCTACCTCCCTCAACCCAGTAAATAACATCAAAGAGCCACCCTCCCCATCTCCGCGGAGTGTATCGATATCGGTTTGAGGCGTTTTTTTGCCGGTGAACACGGTGAACACACGCACAGACACATATATATATATATATATGTATGTATGTATGTATGTATACATACATATATATATAGATATGTATAAATATGTCTGTATATAAGCATAGCAGCATGTGTCAATCTATACACACATGTGCACATAACTTCGATGGCAAGAGCGTCAGGTCGTGCGTCGGCCTGGCCTTGGCGGCCGAGTGCCTCATGCCACGCGGCTTTGCAAGCGTGACTGTTTAGGGGAACGATGTCATCTCTGATATAACCAAATATCATACGCACGCACACGCGTATTTTGATATGTACGTGGGCACAGCCACCCAAACAGATAAATATACACATATATATATATATATATGCACATTTCTGTGTACATGTAAATATACGCATATCTAGATATATACACATTGTTGTTCTCCTCAGGCCACGAACCGCTTGTGTAAAGGTTACCCGCCTTCAAACCCAACCAGAAATGGTTGGGCTTAGTTTTCCTTTGGTTTCCCCGCAAGACAGCGTGCGAACAAATGACTTCTTCACCTGAAGGACCACTTTGCACCAGAGGTCGTATTAAAGGGAGGTGGCAAGTCCTTACCGTAACCACAGCAAGGTCTTTGCTTGCCGTGAGGGCCAAACTCTAATCTGGTTTGCTTGAGAACTCCTTGAACGGACCTTGCAAACAGGCCCGGCCCCCCGCAAGACGCAGCCCAGTGCCCAAACTCTGCGAATTTCTATCCGGCCCGAGACGCCTGTGCCAAGCGAGCGATCTTGGAATTGTTCGTGGCTTTTTTGTTCTCGCCCTTTCCAAGTCGCTTCAACCACTTGAGGCCCACATGCTCCTTGCTGAAAGACATCGATGTGTTCTTTCGGCCTATTGCGCGCGGGGCCCATGTAAAATCAGTCAAGTGGCCGGTTTCAGTTTGGTTCCAACGCCTACTGCTTCCCTTGGCGCCTCGTTAGGTGCCCGAAAAAGTCACCAGGAATTCTGAGACGGTGTTCCTTTGCCCACCTCGCTGAGGAGCTATTGCGTTGCAAGACTTTCTGCAACGCCTTTCTGGAGCTTTCGAACAAAGCGCCTCAGATTTCTGTCAACGAGTCCCACATGAAATTGCACGGGCTGGCTGAGCGGGGTCTCAACTAATGCCACAGCGGGAGTGCTGTCATGTCTTAATGGTCTCAGGTTCTAAGCGTGTTCCTTTGGGTCGCTTTCCTCCAATGAGTGCGTTCCGCTTTCGGTCTGGCCCCAGCCATCGCATCATTAGAAGGGGCCCTTGGTTGGACATCTTTCTGCCGGAGCTCATGTCAGCCGACAAATCATGTCGATGGTCCTTCGGCCCTTTGGCTTTTCTTTCTGTTTGGTTTCTTGCGGCTTCACTTTGCTCTCCCATTGATTTGCCTTCGGTTTCTCTTTGATTTCCCTTTCATTTAGCTTCTGCCGCTTTGATCGCCATCCTCGCGCCGCAGACGGTGGCTATTGTGCGCGCCGCATTGTTTTCCACATCTGTCTTGGCGCCCTGACTTACCCTTTCGGGGGATGTGAAAAAGCAGATGCGCAGGAGCAGTTCCTATTTGTTAGATCATCACCACCAACCACTACCATTGACCATGATCGTATCACGCTGACAGGTCGCCTTCCCGACAGCCAGCGCTTTGATAACCTCGCAGACGCAGCAGGCTGGCGCAGGCTGGCTGTAGTGCGTGTCAAGTGTGTTTGCATATTTTGAGGTTGGTGATGTGCTGATCCTTGGCTGAAAAACGTGGAGCCCGAGCTCCTGGCCACAATTTTGATTCTAAACCCTGGATGAATGATAGTGGCATATTGCAAAACAACCAAATCCTTCAATGACATCCGACCAGGTCCTCACAGCTCGATGCAATCTTGCCTTTGCGGGCCGAAAAAGCGGATTGGCGCAGGTTGTGCGAGTTCACTGGCCAGCTTCTAGTCTGAGCCCATGGCTTTGCAAGGCATATACCCCTAACACTGGTCGAACACGAAATAAGTTGAACTGAACGTGTTCTTCTTCCGAAGTTTTGGTCCCCTCATCCCGGAGCCGACGACTGCCATCGCAGGCGACGCTGCTGGAGACCTTCATACGCCCTTGACGGAGGCGTGATGCCCCCCCATCTTAACAAGGCTTATTGGCGAACCATGTACGTCACGCCAGGCTTCGTGTTCATCGGGCGTGGCGCGCGATCCAGATCCCCGCCCTCATGGTGTTCAGCGAGCGAGCCGGAAGGCCAAATAATCTGAGCAGCGCCCAAACACATGCTTGTCTTTTAGTCCGTTCAATTCTGTTCTACTCCGTGATTTCACGCAAGAGTTGTATATTATTATGCACTCCTTTACTTTGCAAGCGTCACTGTTGTGGCTTTCAGTGGCCGCGGAGCTACCCATATTTGGTCTTAAATGGGCGATCAATCCACCCGGAGAGTAATCCACTTGAAGCAACGCACGCACTGACTGACACCCTTTGCCTTCATTTCAAATCGCATCGTCACTGCAGGCTGGTTCTTGCGTGAGACTGACTCGCCGTTGTTGGTGAGTGCGGCGTCTCTTGCCTCGCAGGACAGGGCGCCGCACAGCACATGCCCTATCATGACA